ATTAAACACATATACACACACTCACTCATGTTATAGCCAACTCTTGACTTTTGTATGAATTATTTTTAATAAAATATTTGTATGTAGTTGTCATGTATTCATTATCGTATTAATGCCATGTTTCTAGCTAAACAGGTGGGGCTCTGCACCTGCCCTAAATGACGGGTCGCCACTGGTCATGGACCTTGCATAGCCACGGGGCAGGAGGCAGGGGTTTGGGTAAAGCCACTTCTGAGACAGTAATTTTACGTTCCATTATTATAACCTAACAGCCAACAGGTCTAGCCACTAGCCTCTACAAGGTGAACAAGTGGTAGCCTAAATTAGCGTAACCTATAATGGAGACGATGCATCTTTTGGGATAACCTATGCATCCTTCATTCCCATGCTTGAAGACATCACCATGTGAAAGGATATATTATGGTAGGCTACCAACCAAGTCATGTCAGATCAGTGATTATTTATTTAAAACCCACAGTGGGGAGAACAAGTATTTGATACACTGCCGATTTTGCAGGTTTTCCTACTTACAAAGCATGTAGATGTCTGTACTTTTTATCATAGGTACACTTCAACTGTGAGAGACGGAATCTAAAACAAAAATCCAGAAAATTACATTGTATGATTTTTAAGTAATTAATTTGCATTTTATTGCATGACATAAGTATTTGATCACCTACCAACCAGTAAGAATTCCGGCTCTCACAGACCTGTTAGTTTTTCTTTAAGAAGCCCTCCTGTTCTCCACTCATTACCTGTATTAACTGCACCTGTTTGAACTCGTTACCTGCATAAAAGACACCTGTCCACACACTCAATCAAACAGACTCCAACCTCTCCACAATGGCCAAGACTAGAGAGCTGTGTAAGGACATCAGGGATAAAATTGTAGACCTGCACAAGGCTGGGATGGGCTACAGGACAATAGCCAAGCAGCTTGGTGAGAAGGCAACAACTGTTGGTACAATTATTAGAAAATGGAAGAAGTTCAAGATGACGGTCAATCACCCTCGGTCTGGGGCTCCATGTAAGATCTCACCTCGTGGGGCATCAATGATCATGAGGAAGGTGAGGGATCAGCCCAGAACTACACGGCAGGACCTGGTCAATGACCTGAAGAGAGCTGGGACCACAGTCTCAAAGAGAACCATTAGTAACACACTACGCCGTCATGGATTAAAATCCTGCAGCGCACACAAGGTCCCCCTGCTCAAGCCAGCGCATGTCCAGGCCCGTCTGAAGTTTGCCAATGACCATCTGGATGATCCAGAGGAGGAATGGGAGAAGGTCATGTGGTCTGATGAGACAAAAATAGAGCTTTTTGGTCTAAACTCCACTCGCCGTGTTAGGAGAAAGAAGAAGGATGAGTACAACCCCAAGAACACCATCCCAACCATGAAGCATGGAGGTGGATACATCATTCTTTGGTGATGCTTTTCTGCAAAGGGGACAGGACGACTGCACCGTATTGAGGGGAGGATGGATGGGGCCATGTATTGCGAGATCTTGGCCAACAACCTCCTTCCCTCAGTAAGAGCATTGAAGAGGCTGGGTCTTCCAGCATGACAACGACCCGAAACACACAGCCAGGGCAACTAAGGAGTGGCTCCGTAAGAAGCATCTCAAGGTACTGGAGTGGCCTAGCCAGTCTCCAGACCTGAACCCAATAGAAAATCTTTGGAGGGAGCTGAAAGTCCGTATTGCCCAGCGACAGCCCCGAAACCTGAAGGATCTGGAGAAGGTCTGTATGGAGGAGTGGGCCAAAATCCCTGCTGCAGTGTGTGCAAACCTGGTCAAGACCTACAGGAAATGTATGATCTCTATAATTGCAAACAAAGGTTTCTGTACCAAATATTAAGTTCTGATTTTCTGATGTATCAAATACTTATGTCATGCAATAAAATGCAAATTAATTACTTAAAAATCATACAATGTGATTTTCTGGATTTTTGTTTTAGATTCCGTCTCTCACAGTTGAAGCGTACCTATGATAAAAATTACAGACCTCTACATGCTTTGTAAGTAGGAAAACTTGCAAAATCGTCAGTGTATCAAATACTTGTTCTCCCCACTGTATATAGCCTATCTTAATTTATCTACTAGGCCTATATTTAGATCAATGATTATTTCAAGAGAGGGAGAATCCACCCATGAATATATTCAAACAGCGCCTCATATTAACTGCTTTGCGCATGCAGGAGTGGTCCTCAGTTGCCTCTCCTCCCACAGACACTTTTGCGTAAAACCCCTGCTTCATTGTTTATTCCTACGCAGACGTTGGATAGGCCTATAATTTACTTTCACTTGCTTACGGTGCAATGTACGATTAGCCTACAGGTTAGGGTACTCAATCTAGTGGGCCGCTATAGGTTTATAATGGGCTGCAAAATAGCGGTGTTGTAGCGAATTTGGAGAGCAGTTTGACATGCGACACATGCACACGCATAGCCCTCTGTCTCCACCAGGATGCCAAGATAATTCGCTTTATTGGGTGTGCTCACGCAGCCTACTAGCCTATAGTCGTTAGAAAGATAGTTGCAATAAGGGGGAAATACTACTGTTAGTAAAGCCCAATGGATAAGTTCTTTAATAGTTGCCATTATGCACAGATTAATTACAAAGTGTTCGCATAGGCTATGCAGAAGAAGGTTGTATAGCGAATTCGGAGGCAGACTGACAGGGACTCAACCCTAGTTATTTTCGCTTTCAGTGACCGTCCCAAAAAAGTGTTTTGTTTGTGCTCATAACCAACCATGGCAGTTAGACGAGTGTATGCCTATAGTCTGACATTAAGAGTGGGAAACTTGGTGTGTGCGTGCGAGTTACTGGATCATTAGATTGATACGCGTGAGTGCGCAGTAATGCCTGTTTGAACGAGCGTATTAGATCTTTAGATTGATGGCCATTAGTTTTTTTTTGCCCCTACTTTCAGCCTTGGCTCATAGACTAGACGTAACATAGTAAAAGTTAAGGCGATAACTAAAATAAACATAATGTGCTATGTTTGGTATGGTTACATAACACAGATGGTTACTTAAGGCAAAACGAAAGTAGAGTGGTTGGTCGGGCGTATAACGTGAACATCAAACAACCCAAAGGTTTGCGAGTTCGAATCTCGTCACGGACAACTTTAGCATTTTTCTAATTAGCAACTTTTCAACTACTTACTACTTTTTAGATACTTTGCAACTACTTAGCATGTTAGTTAACCCTTCCCCTAACCCTAACCCTAACCTTAACTTTTTAACCTAACTCCTAAACTTAACCATGACTCCTAATCCCTAGCCTAGCTAATGTTAGCCAGCTAGCTAGAATATCATATCATACGTTTTGCAAATTAGGAAGATATTGTACATCTTGCAAATTGGTAACATATAATACGAATTGTAATTCGTAACAAATACAAAAATATCATACAAATGGGTGATAGACAGCCACATTAATACATATCATTCGAAATGTTACAAATCATACTAAATTAAGTGTCTCGGATTTACATACAGAATAATAAGAAATGCTCTGGGACCAGATTGCGACCAACCACCCTCCTTTCGTTTTTGCCTTAACTAACCTTCTGTCTTATGTAACCATACCAAACGTAACATATTATATTAATTTGATTGTCCCGGATTTACTTTACTATGCTACGTCTAGTGTATGAGACCAAGCTGTTCGTTTTTGCCTTAAGTAACCTTCTGTCTTATGTAACCATACCAAATCTAGCATATCATACTAATTTGATTGTTCCAGATTTCGTTTCTATGTTATGTCTAGTCTATGAGACCAAGCTGCAACCGCGGTAGGCAAACAGGAACCAACCCACATTCTGCTGCTCACAGAATAATTTTATTCAAGCCAACGCCGTCATCGCTCACTTCGAAGCGAAGGAATGTTGCTCTGGTCGCTGCGTTGGGACAGAGGTGTTTTCCCGTTATAGGTCTTCTTCCAGATGGACCGTGTTGCCTACAGTAACTGAGCGAGTTTGACATATTGGATATTTTTTTCGATAAACGAGTGTTGTACCGACAGCGGGCACTTTATTGAGGTCTTGTTGCTCTGCTTTCTCAATTACATTGAACTTTGAAATCCAGCTATCACCTACAGGTTCGGGATCACGTTGAGGAATTTAAACGTAAGATTTCTGAAAACTTTCCCTTGCATTACTAGAATAGAATAGAATAGAATGCTCGACACAATGTCTATTTGCTTCGAAATGAAGCACCTATGGTGCCGAGATGAAAGGAAATAGGAACTATCTATGAACACTCGGACATCTATGCATGAGAGTTAATTATTTTTTACTTTTGATATGGAAACAAACTGCAGACTTGTCAGGCCACTACATTCTAAAAATAGCCTTGATCGCCTTGGGTTATTATTAGTAGGCTAAGGCTTAGCACATGTGAATTTTATAGCTCATATGCAGTATTATAATTATATAGGAAGCTATTATAATTATTACCTATGTAAATAATTACATTTATGTATTGTTCAAATTAATCACCAGTTGAAATGAAGGGCCACTTGCATTATTTAATAGCACTGTAAGTCTTAGCCCAAATGGTAAAGATGTTTCACAATTGTGTGGTCCATAGTTTATGATCCCTTAATCTGATGTTATCCCCCATGCGGTACTAACTTTCATGTATCCAGTGACAGTACAGTTGTTTTTCCTGTCTGTACCTCATAAATCCAACTCTCTCACTTTTGCATTTCTCTCTCTCTCTCTCTCTCTCTCTCTCTCTCTCTCTCTCTCTCTCTCTCTCTCTCTCTCTCTCTCTCTCTCTCTCTCTCTCTCTCTCTCTCTCTCTCTCTCTCTCTCTCTCTCTCTCTCTCTCACCAGGGGTAACTGAACAGAGAAGAGGCAGGACGAGGAACACTGCTGGTGCTAACCTGGACATTATTCATCAACAACAGAGCTGCTGATAAAAAGCTAAGAACTTCCGTGGGATACCATTTTGGGGGGTCATCATTGTGGCTGGTCACTGATATACTGAGATATGGGTTCTAGCCTGACATGTGCGGGCGTGGTGTGGGCTCTGCTCTCCTTCCTGTGTGCGGTGGCCTCCTGTGTGGGTTTCTTTATGCCATACTGGCTCCTAGGGTCCCAGATGGGTAAACCGGTCTCCTTCGGGACCTTCCGGCGGTGCTCGTACCCGGTGCGTGATGAGGTTCGCCAGGCCACAGTGATGCTGGAGCAGTGTGGGCGTTACGCCTCCTTTCAGGGTATCCCCAGTTTGGAGTGGAGGATCTGTACGGTGGTGACGGGGGTGGGCTGTGGCCTGCTGCTCCTGGTGTCCCTCACGGCCCTAATGGGCTGCTGTGTGTCTGACCTCATCTCCAGGACCATCGGACGCGTGGCCGGGGGCATCCAGTTTGTAGGGGGTAAGTTAAAATCATTAAGTGCTGTTGGTATTTAAGTGATTTGAAGATGGGATTGTGATAGATGGGTGGAAGGATAGATGGATGGTTTGATGGATAAAATAAGGAGTAGACTGACTCCTCCACCAATGGGTGTAGAATTGAATCATTGAATGATTAATAGAATGAAGCTGGGCTGAACAGCAACTCCACAACGTTATATTTGGTTTCACTCTTTGTCTTATTTATCTGACCTTTGGGGTCTGAGGAGAGAGAGAAATTAGGTGGTGATGGTGGGGGCTTCCTTATCCAGATGCTTCCTGGTGTAACACACTCGACGTGTGGTGTGTAGTCCTAGTTGTGTGTGTCCTCTAAAGAAAAATGCCTCTTATAGAGGGAGGGCCTCAGCCTTCTCTTTCCACTCATGCACTCATCCCCCTCTCCTCTCCTCCCTCTGTATAAAGACTTTGACCGCTCTTTTCATTCAGCCAGTGTGGGGGACTAGGGTTGATTAAGTGTGACCTCTTCATGCTTGCACAGCAGGGCCTCTGAGTCTTCTCTCTCGCTCTCTCTCTCCCTCAAATTCTAATTCAATATGCTTTAATGGCATGAATGACGAGGTCAATGTCGCCAAAGCGAAGTGATACACATAAAAAGTATGAAAATAACAGGGAGAACAATGAGAATAGTAGCTATAATACTAAATATACAGGTTACTGCCAAAATAATGGAAACACCAACATGAAGTGTCTTAATAGGGTGTTGGGCCACCATGAGCCAGAACAGCTTCAATGCGCCTTGGCATAGATTCTACAAGTGTCTGGAACTCTTCCACAATAAATTCCATAATTTGGTGTTTTTTTATGGTGGTGGAAAATGCTGTCCAGAATCTCCCATAAGTGTTCAATTGGGTTAAGACAGAGAGGAAGAGGCCAAGCGAGAGGTTTTACTCCACCCAAAATCTGTCCACAAAAATAAGCCCACAAAGTGAGGAATTTTTGTATGGAGGTCAATGAGAAAGTGTTGAATTTGGTCAACAAAGAAACGTTAAAAACAAAATATTTGTATCTGGGAGTTATGCCTGTTGTCATAGAGATAGATAGAGGACTCATCATGGATATAACCCGTTTTACCATGCACATTGCCATTGAGGGCTTCCACCATTTTTAAAGTAGTCAACTGGGTGGGGATTCCTATGAGTTGGGAGCAATCAGCCAATGAAGAAGAAGAAGATAGTATGGGCAGCGCCATTGAGGCTGTCGCAGATGCTATAATGGCACAGATACAAATATGGCCTGTTGTTCACACGTGTATCTGTCCTTTCATTGGCTAGAATGGTCCCACCTGATCTCGCCTCCTCCTGCCTGCCTTCCATCTTTGAGGACATGTATTTCCATTGTTAGAACTGTCACTTGACTATCTTGTCAATATAATAGACAATCATTGGTTGAGATCTGGTGACTGAGATGGCAATGGCATATGGTTTACATGGTTTTCATGCTCATCAAACCATTCGTGACCACTCGTGCCCTGTGGATGGGGCATTGCCATCCTATTTTCTAAACAGTTTACCCAATATGGATGGAAATAGCCTCAAATTAAAGCTGACAGTTTAACCTTATAATCATTGTATCATCTCAAATCCAAAGTGCTGGAGTACAGAGCCAAAACAACAACAAATGTGTCACTGTCTAAATACATTTGGACCTCACTGTTTACATAGACACATCTGAAATCAGGCTACCTGATGGGACTTAAATAAATGCAGAAAATTGCCAATCAAAATAAACATTCTACCAAAGCAACCATGTTATTTTTGCAAAGCCTATTTGATTCTGAGTTCGGACATATAAAGTTTGTTTGTGAAAACTATTTCTAAGATGCATACTTTCAGTTTTTCCGAACTCACTTCACTCGTGCAAAAGAAGGAGGCTTGCACCACTGGTGCTGGCACATGCACAGATCAAATACACTGCTGGAACTCTGATTAAGCTGTTTACATGTCCTAATAATTAGAAAGATTGCTCAGAAAACCAGGTGTTTTAATCGGCATATGCTTACTTTGATTTTGACCTTACGCCAATCAAGATAGTCATGTAAACACTTTACTTTATTGCCATACTCTGCTTAATGCCATAATCAGTTTAATATTGAATTATTAGTGTGCATGTAAACCTACTGTATCTCTCCCCTCTCTCAGGAGACCACTGGCCATTTCATGCACGATAAATATCTCCTGACATTTTTCTCTCTGAGATGACACAGTGTCCGTTTATTAATGAAAGAGGAGGGAGACTGTTTATCCTCCTACATTCTATGGTCTGTTCTAAATTCTGGTTCTATGGTCCATGCAGTGGTTCTTACACGCTCAGAAATACACTTCCATTAGGTAATGGCTATAATGCCAGCAGGGGGGATTTTTTGAGATCCTCACTTATGATATCATACAATATTTTATCTCAATTTTTATGGAAATTGTATTGCAATTTTCATGCAAATTCACTTGTTAAGTAACTAACACAGAGTTGCTCTGTATTCAGTTCCTATCAACAAAGTACTGAGTAAAGGGTCTGAATACTTACACTACCGTTCAAAAGTTTGGGGTCACTTAGAAATGTCCTTGTTTTTGAAAGAAAAGCAATTTTTTTGTCCATTTAAAATAACATCACATTGATCAGAAATACAATGTAGACATTGTTAATGTTGTAAATGGCTATTGTAGCTGGAAACGGCTGATTTTTAATGGAATATCTACATAGGCATACAGAGGCCCATTATCAGCAACCATCAGTCCTGTGTTCCAATGGCACGTTGTGTTTGCTAATCCAAGTTTATCATTTTAAAAGGCTAATTGATCATTAGAAAACCCTTTTGCAATTATGTTAGCACAGCTGAAAACTGTTGTGCTGATGAGGAAGCAATAAAACTGGCCTTCTTGAGACAAGTTGAGTATCTGGAGCATCAGCAATTGTGTGTTCGAATACAGGCTCAAAATGGCCAGAAACAAATAACTTTCTTCTGAAACTCGTCAGTCTATTCTTGTTCTGAGAAATGAAGGCTATTCCATGCGGGAAATTGCCAAGAAACTGAAGATCTCATACAACGCTGTGTACTACTCCCTTCACAGAACAGCACAAACTGGCTCTAACCAGAATAGAAAGAGGAGAGGGAGGCCCCGGTGCACAACTGAGCAAGAGGACAAATACATTAGTGTCTAGTTTGAGAAACAGATGCCTCACAGGTCCTCAACTGGCAGCTTCATTAAATAGTACCCACAAAACACCAGTCTCAACGTCAACAGTGAAGAGTCGACTCCAGGATGCTGACCTTCTAGGCAGAGTTGCATAGAAAAAGCCATATCTCAGACTGGCCAATAAAAATAAAAGATTAAGATGGGCAAAAGAACACAGACACTGGGCAGAGGAAGATTGGAAAAAAGTGTTATGGACAGACAAATCGAAGTTTGAGGTGTTCGGATCACAAAGAAGAACATTTGTGAGATGCAGACCAAATGAAAAGATGCTGAAGGAGTGCTTGATGCCATCTGTCAAGCATGGTGGAGGCAATGTGATGGTCTGGGGGTGCTTTGGTTGTGGTAAAGTGGGAGATTTCTACAGGGTAAAAGGGATCTTGAAGAAGGAAGGCTATCACTCCATTTTGCAACGCCATGCCATACCCTGTGGATGGCGCTTGATTGGAGCCAATTTCCTACTACAACAGGACAATGACCCAAAGCACAGCTCCAAACTATGCAATAACTATTTAGGGAAGAAGCAGTCAGCTGGTATTCTGTCTATAATGGAGTGGCCAGCACAGTCACCAGATCTCAACCCTATTGAGCTGTTGTGGGAGCAGCTTGACCGTATGGTATGTAAGAAGGGCCCATCAAGCCAATCCAATTTATGGGAGGTGCTTCAGGAAGCATGGGGTGAAATCTCTTCAGATTACCTCAACAAATTGACAACTAGAATGCCAAAGGTCTGCAAGGCTGTAATTGCTGTAAATGGAGGATTCTTTGACGAAAGCAAAGTTTGAAGGACACAATTAGTATTTCAATTAAAAATCATTATTTCTAACCTTGTCAATGACTACATTTCCTATGCATTTTGCTATATTTCCTATTCAAACTCATTTCATGTATGTTTTCATGGAAAACAAGGACATTTCTAAGTGACCCCAAACTTTTGAACGGTAGTGTATGTAAATGTGATATTTTAAATTTTAAATAAATGTGCAAACATGCATGCATTTGTAGTCTACCTGTGTGCTGCTACTATAGCCCCTTGCTTTAGCTACTGTCATGGCGTTCGCTAAATATTTTCAGAAAGAAACTGATAAAACACACAGGTGCAAAATCAAGGTGACTTACAAAGATGAGGACCAAGAGCAAGAGAGGGAGTGTGGTGATGCAGTGTCCACAACTACAGAATCATTGTGGAATCTGAAAAGACACGTATCCCGAAAGCGTGATGGTGTACTTACTACACGCACATGCTAAAAGAAAGGAACAAGGTGGGTAGATAAGTGTGTCATTGTAGCAAAGTATTTATAAACAACAAAAACTGATCTCTTAAACGTTTCGTTCATTTTTGTAGGCCATAATTGATTTTGGCCCAGTAGGCATGGTATATTCCCATGTTCAAGAAGCTTTCCGTTTTGATTGTTTTTTTTTTGCCTAAAAACCTTTAGGCCTACCTATAAAAAAAATAATAAAAAAATCTACATCTGCAAGTGTGGAGAGGATATTCTCCACTGCTGGCCTGCTCTCCAGGCACCATCGCATGAGCCTGAAGCCACAGATTGGCCAAACTGGTGTTTCTAAAAAGGAATTCAAAAATGAATTCAAAGGCACTAATAAGTCATCTTTAGTTTAATTTGTATTTAATTATAAGTAAGCCACAGCCTAAATGTATAGACTATAATGATTTAATACAACAAAATGTTGTTTAAATGCTGCACGCTTTATGTCCCTACCAGACTATTGTGTCGCACTCGCAAATTCTTCACAATGTATTTCTTTGTAGGCTATACCCTTGAAATAATATAGCCTAAATAATTCATTTTCATTCCTTCTTAGGCTCCCTGTCTGGCTCTTGACTTATTTAAAGTGTTTATATGCTGTTTAATATGACATGTAGCCTATTTGAAATGATGTGCGCTTCTTACATTAACCTTTTCATGTTTATTAGAATACTTTTCATTCAAATCATATGGTTTGGTTTCAATACTTCAAAACCAAGTAGCTAACATATTCATGCTTCGCCTATTCTTCTCTGATTTAGAAGATACCGTTGCACAAACAACATGCTGGCCTACACCAGTACTGTTCTGAGGCTGTATTAGCTAGCTATGTTTGCTCTGACTCAGTACATTTATTAGCTAGCTAGCCAGCTAACTAGCGATTAACATAAGCGGCTAACACAATTTATTTTAGCAACTTGCTAAGACAAACTAGCTGTTTGCAGACAGTAAGATACACAAACTAATAGTGTAATTATGGAACAC